CTCGCAGCACTGCCGTAGCGTGCTACGATGATTTTTGGAACGGTGTTGGCAGTACTGCCAGCGCTGACAAACAATTTTGGAACACAGCCGTAGTGTCACTTCTTGAACTAGTGCAAGCAGTGCAGAGAAAAAAAACAAACCTTTTATTGTCACTATCTGTTTGCACCGTTGAAATGTCCATATAAGGGATTTAAATGGCCATTTAACGGAAAGTGACAGGAGTAGTACATATATATTATATGAGAAATAATAAAGTGATACGTGAGGAATAATAAAGTGTTTATCAGAATTTTTTAACAGTAAAAGAAGAATATTTCAAATTGGAAGTTAAATAATATCGGTCAGTTAAAATAAAACGGATTGCTGTATTATTATTAGTTCTCTTATTGCGTTTATATTTTGTAACTCTATCATTGCAAATAAAAAAAGATTAAGTTATAAGTACGAATCTCCTTATATTTCCTGAGAAATTAATGTATGTCATGTTTAATTTCTATTTTATTTTCTGTTTCAAATATAATGTATATTGTGTAGGTCTGTTATTTTTCGAAGGTTCTGAACTTATTGCATCAGAGTGGAGTCCCATAAAGCGTATTTGCCGCGTATCGCGTAACATCGTAACTAATCGATAATCAGTAAGGCGTCGTCTACAATACACGGAGTAAGAAGTAAGAGTAAGAAATTGACCAATCACAGTCGAATCTGAGAAGAATAATCGACTGTGATTGGTCAATTTCTTACTCTTACTTTTTACTCCGTGTATTGTAGACGACGCCTAAAACGCGAAATTACAACAGCGGATCGCTTTTGATTGGTTACGCGGTTATACGATACGCGGTAAATACACCTCATGGGTATCTAGCCTCAGGCTGGAGTCCCATGAGGTGTATTTACCGCGTATCGCGTAACCGCGTAACCAATCAGAAGCGATCCGCTGTTGTGGTTTCGCGTTTTACTGATTATTGATTGGTTACGCGATACGCGGCAAATACGCTTCATGGGACTCCACCCTCAGTGTATACACCAGTTCGGAACTTACAGTGGAAAAAGAACAGACCTTATACAATAAAGTAGAAAAAAAGACAAGGTTACAACCGAGAGAAGAAGTGAAATGGAACATCAGGACTACGTTCAGAAACTTCATCTTGCGGGTGATTGCTAGGAGTCTGTGTGAGTGAAATGGTAGGAATAAGGTACCCTCTCTGGTGTGTACATTTCTGAACGACCTAGCCGGAGGAAAATCGCGGAGCGTAAAAAACAAGCACTTGATATATGTACTAGGTAGTAAACTTTCTATTATATTATCGGGTGGCATCCAGTTGGACACGGCTCAATTGGACACGAGCCACTCACAGCGCTTGAGACTACAAAGCTCCTAAGCACCAGTCGCTGTGATTGGTGATGTCCAATTGAAACGTGGTCAATCGGGATCACCCC